CAGTTGTTTCCGCATCTCTCGTCGTGCTTGGCGCGGCGGGCGACGTTGATCGCATCAGCAATGACGCCGGCGGCCGGTGTCGTCGCACTCGCCAAAGAGCTGGCATCGACGTACAACTTGAGTTTGACCAACATTGCGGGGACCAAGCAGTTGTTTGCGCCAACGACCTTTCTCGACGGCTTTATCGACATTTCGGGGCAGAGCTCGGGCGCCGCCACCTACGAGATCAGCGGACGCGATCTCTTTGCGACACTGCTCGGTGGCAGCGGCTACATCAACTCGATCTTTGCGCCGCGCGAGACGGCGTGGTGGTGTTCCATCCAGTACGTGGACCCAACAACGAACGCTCCGAACCGAACGCAGTGTTTCGAGCGCATGAGCGTCGCTTTGCCGGCGTTCTTTGTCGGCAAGTACATTTCTTTGAACTCGGGTTCGCGGTATGTCGACAACGCCGATGTCGTGGCTGGATCAACGATCGGCAACTTGCAATCGTACCACTACAAGCACCACGACGTGCAGCCGTTGGCGTCCATCAAGCTAGCAACACTGGGCAACCGGACGACATGGGCGGCATGGATTCCCGAGGTGATTGCGACCGTCGCGCAGACGCCCGTCGACACGAGCGACGCGATCGAAGAGCTCTGTTTTGTCGGTGACGGGTGCTTTGCCGCGTGCCTGAATGAGACGGCGAGCGGCGGGACCACGTACACGTACAGGCGCGGCGGCGAGTGTGTCGGAACCATCGATACCATCACCGTATCGCTGAACGAGTTGTACGCTGACTCGGCGTGCCTCGGTCTTGGTACTGGCGCGGCCCATGTTCAAGTGACGTACATTGACAGCACCGGCGTCCGGTCGACGCGTGTCGCGTCACAGGCCGCGTCGCCAATGGCGATCTTGGCGTGCATCGTCGGCGGGCGTGTTCCGAATGGCGACTATCTACCCTCGAATTTCATCGATATGGTGTCCCGGGGCACGGAAGCGTCTTTGGTTGTCACGTCGTCCAATGGCAGCGAAGCGATCATGCTCAACTTTATCGCGCTCATCTCGCTGCTCGGGTACGTATTCTATCTGCTTTGGATCGTTCTCTACTTGGTGAACACAAGTGCGTGGATCCAGCGGCTTCCGCCCACCGAAAACAAAATGCAACTGCGCTTCTCGATGGCCAAGTGCAATGTGAGCAGCGTCGTGTGGATGATCCACCGCAACTCGATGCGCATCACGGGCTTCCTCGGGCTCGTTGCATGGCACGTCGGAGCGAGCGACTGCCACTGCAACTGGAACCCGTCGCATGACGTTCGCATCGACCCGATTTACGGCTGCACCAACGATCCCGCTGGCCACTTTAGCGATGTCAGCGAGTGGATCCGCCTCCTCTCGTACGCATGGGTGTTTTTTGCGCTTGTCTACATGGACCTCATGCCCGGTATTGGCGCCAACATGAAGGGGTATGCGACCGCCGTGATCTTGCTGAGCCTCGTGCCGCTGGCCTTTTGGGCCTACGTGATCGCCGAGCTCTGGCAACTCCGTGCCCAATGGAGCTGGCTGGCGTGGATGCACAGCCAGCTCTTTTTGATTCTCTTTTGGCTCGCAGTGTGCGCCCTCATGCGCAGCCGTCTCGCCTTGCCGTACAGGCACCTCGTCGAGGGATGTCTCTACCGCATCGGCATGCGCAAACAGTCGATCGACCGCAAAAGCCCGTTTCGAACGCTGATTGGCACGCACTTTTGGACCCCTGTGGCGCTCTTCCGACCAGAAGACGTGGCGTATGTGCCAATGAGCGTGCTCTTGAAGACCAAGGGCATCATTTTGGAGAATATTGCCGATCACACGTACTATACCTACGGCGTCGACCCCGATCGTGATGACGTATCGAGAAAGCCACGAGTGCACCCAGACTGGGTCCTCACGCAACTCGAATACTACGTGTGCGTTGCGACATGACACATTCGTTTCCGCGAAGACACTTTTTTATAATCCTTTTTATGTTGAAATATACCACCCGGATATCGACGCAGCGACCTGTACACAATTACCGTTAAGGAACGTTGTGGGTGTGTACCGTCTTGTGGATGAAAAAGCAGCCCGCTTGGCCATGGCACGGTGGTGAATCGAGGCCATTATTGAAACTCCGTAAAATTGATCAAATGATGAAATGATCAAATGGATAAATTGATAAATGGATAGAGTGATACCGGTGGCCAGATCATCTGACAGTTTGATGATGGGATGGTTTGCACATCTGATACGATGGGGCGGGCGGAAATGCTATTTGATGCCCCGTACATAGTACCCACGGTGCTCGAGGACCCACTTGGGATGGGTGGTCGGTAGCGTATGGCTCCAATCGCGCGCATCAAAATCTTCTTGGCACAACCAGTATTCGTGGTCACAAATGCGGTCCATCGCCACGTCCTTGGTCTGCAAGAGCAAGCTCAGCGGGACATACGCCGTGTCGTCATCGTGCACATCGACCGCGTCGGTCCAAAAGTACGCGCCGAGAATCGACCGGAGGGGGCTCTTGGCGTCGATTCTTTGTTTGCGCAAGCCGACGCAGTGCAAGCAGCGCTCGACCAGGCGGCGGTACGGCGCGAAACACCGACTGCGCATGAGCCATAGCACAGTGAGCCACAAGAGTGCGAGAAAGAGATGACTGTGCATCCATTGCAGCCACGGCGTCGAGGCCCACACTCGCATCATATACGCCAGTGGAATCGCCCACAGCAACAGCGGGATCAAGGCCAGCAGCACGACAGCGACCGCGTACCCGGCAAAGTGCACGGTGAGGCCCGGAAAGAGATCCAAGAACGCAAGGGCAAAGAATACCCACGCATGCGACAGCAGCCGAACGACTTCACTGATTTCCAAAACGTGCCCGACCGGGTTGATGCTGCAGACGTACGCCGGGTCGTCGGCCACCGATGCCGTGTTGCGCCAGACGCACTTGCACTGACTCGCACCGAGGTGCCAAGCCACGAGCCCCAGAAATCCAGTGACCGACATGGTCGAGCGCTCGTGCATCCAAACACGCGTGCTCAAGTTGGCGCGGTAGGTGCTAAAGCGCAGCTGTGCGACGTTTTCGTTGGTGTTTGCCAAAACGGCAACCCAACGCAGAGTGCGCCACGCAAAAATGGCAATCCAAAGCAGAAAGTAAACGTACCCGAGCAGCGAGATGAGCGCGATACAGTTGAGCATGATCGCTTCGCTGCCATTGGACGACGTGACAACCAAAGACGCTTCCGTGCCCCGGGACACCATATCGATGAAATTCGAGGGTAGATAGTCGCCATTCGGAACACGCCCGCCGACGATGCACGCCAAGATCGCCATTGGCGACGCGGCCTGTGACGCGACGCGCGTCGACCGGACGCCGGCGTGATTGAGATACGTGACTTGGATGTGGGATGTGCCCGTGCCGAGGCCGAGGCACGCCGAGTCAGAGTACAACTCGTGGAGGCTTATTGCCACCGAGTCGATGGTTCCAACACACTCGCCGCCGCGCCTGTACGTGTACGTAGTCCCGCCGCTCGCCGTCTCATTCAAGCACGCGGCAAAGCACCCGTCACCGACAAAACAGAGCTCTTCGATCGCGTCGCTCGTGTCGACGGGCGTCTGCGCGACGGTCGCAATCACCTCGGGAATCCACGCCGCCCACGTCGTCCGGTTGCCCAGTGTTGCTAGCTTGATGGACGCCAACGGCTGCACCTCGTGGTGCTTGTAGTGGTACGACTGCAAGTTGCCGATCGTTGCTCCAGCCACGACGTCGGCGTTGTCGACATACCGCGAACCCGAGTTCAAAGAAATGTACTTGCCGACAAAGAACGCCGGCAAAGCGACGCTCATGCGCTCGAAACACTGCGTTCGGTTCGGAGCGTTCGTCGCTGGGTCCACGTACTGGATGGAACACCACCACGCCGTCTCGCGCGGCGCAAAGATCGAGTTGATGTAGCCGCTGCCACCGAGCACCGTCGCAAAGAGATCGCGTCCGCTGATCTCGTAGGTGGCGGCGCCCGAGCTCTGCCCCGAAATGTCGATGAAGCCATCGAGAAATGTCGTTGGCG